AGGCAACTTGCTTGTGGCATGAAAAGGCTTCGCTGATAAGCGCTGATATGAAACAGACCTCCAAGAAGGAAGGCCTGCTCTGTGTCAAGCCAGTACGTTTTCTCAGAAACGGAAACAGATCAAGACAGGGTCAAATATGCCTGTCTTTTCTTCACCAAGAAAAAACAACATGTTTCGGCTTAGATCTCAGATCTGATTTTGTCTTCCTTAAAAACACCAGTAAGGAGGCTTGGGGTGTGTGTGTGTCAAGGACCAGTGTTAACATGGGGGACAAGGCTGAATAATAGATGCGGCCTTATCACTGGATACAAAACTGCACTGGATTTGGGAGTATCTGGGGAGGGAGGGAGTCCTTGTTTTTCTTAACTGGCACATATTTTAAGGTGTCCACCACCATTTCCATGCCTTTCTCCTCTCAAAATGAAAAGAAATGGAGCTGTCAGTTTTTAGCCTTCATGAGGGCTGCTAAAAGGGAAAGAAAGATCCACTTGCATTGTCAGCAGTGCATACTTTCACCTCCAGTTGTTCTCTAAGATCTTTTAGCATCGATGTTCTTTTTCTCAAACAAGGTTCACTATCAACCAAACAACTCTAGTCAAGCTGGCTGGGAATGCTGGGAATTGTAATCAATTAGAGCTGTGAGGGCGAACCTATAGCATGCATGTCACAGGTGGCACGCAGAGCCCTCTCTGTGGGCACGCAAGCCGTTGCCCCAGCTCAGCTCCACTGCGGATGCCTCCCGCTGGCCAGCTGGTCTTTGGGTCTACACCGTATATGGCAGGGGTGGGTTTCAACCGGGTGCACGAGGCCACCGGCCTCGTTCCAACCGAACCGGTTGGAACGGGGCGAGAAACCCACCCCTGGTATATGGGGTGGGTGGAGCGCATGGGGCAGATGTGTGCACATGCACAGGGGACACATGTGCATGTGGTGGTTGAATGAGTATGCAGGGGGAATGTGGGGGGTCATCTGCGCATGTGTGGGTGTACATGGAGTGTACATGTGGTCACATGCACATGCACGGGGCGGGTGAGGAATGCAGGGGGGTCACACATGCATTGCATTATGGGTGCACACATGCACGCTTTCGACACGGGATGACTAAAAGGTTAGCCATCACTGATCTAGAGGCCACCAGATTGGGAAATCTGCTGCTTTTCCTCTCATTATTTCTTTGGTTTGGGATTTCTTTTTTCTATTTAGTTTTGTTGGCTGCTAGAGCTCTTTCTTTGTCCTTAAGTACACAGTTCTGAGATGGAGATAACCTCCAAGCTCGACAAACAACCAGAAAGCCCTGCCAAAGATTAACATGGATCGTTGGTGGTGATTGCTATTAGTATGTAGCGGGAAACAAATGCTGTGAAAGTCTGGGAGAAATAAGAGCTAAGAAGTACCCCCATGTTCAGTGTAGTAATGAGGGTTCTAGATTTGGACTGAGAGAATCCAGGTTCAACGTTTTATTCAATTATAAAGCTTAACAAGGTGACTGTATTAGTCCAACCTACATCCAAGGCAGTTCAAACTTTTTAAGAACCTCTTCTGTAGGTGTGGCCTGCTTTGTGGGAG